CGGATAGGAAAATCAGTCAACAAGTAAAAACAGTGACTGTTAAAAAAGCTCACACAGCATCCACGTTTTTCATAGGACTTCCATCGAGTGGAATGCTCTACCAGAAAGAGTAGTTACCTGTAACACTCTAAAACGTTTTAAACGTGCGTTGCGTAGTTATCTAAAAATTTAGTATGTAAAGTCAAAGTGACTATTTTTTACTCATATTCATTGTACATCATCAATTTCAACCTCGTTTAGAGCAGTATACCATATACCATAACATTTTTTGATGTGATTTCATGTATAGTTTTTTGCATTTTACTTTTACTTTTTTTTGTTTCTATTTCGTGCTTTGTTAAAGGTGGTAGGACTTTGTAAGAAAGTAAAGTGTATTCTTTTTCCTACTTTCCTGTTCAAATCAACATTTTTTTGACAAAATAAATTCAAGGTTCAAGGTTCAAGAAGATCGAGGACAGAAGAGAGTACATAAAACAGTTTCTGTCAAATGCCGAAAGGCGGAGATTATATCGATCTATACGTGGTATCTGTTATCGACGAGTTGTTTGTTCACAACAACTTGTTCCACATTAAATGAGCCATTTCGCTAAACATTCTGTCCGATGTACGGTAAAGAAATTGAACTTTGTGGTCATATCCCATACAAACTAGGGGTGAAATATTGGCACAAGCGCAAGGGTTCTATATAAGCGATGTAATAATAAATGTGACCTGCTGATTATGTTGAAAATAAAAAACCAACATATTTTGATTGTAAGTCTCAGGAATTATTTTTGTGATCTAGAAATGAAATTGGGCGTCTATAAGAACGTATAAGCAACTGCAGACGGGACATTTATCTTACTATTATTGATGTTCGACCTCTGAATACAATCTTTCAGTGAGTTAGCGTCGTACGAGTTTCTCATTGGGTGAACGTTCATGTTAAATAAAAGATGCATCGCTATCGAATGTATGTCTTCATATCATTTAACTGTTGTCAAAAACAGCACTACGATTGAGATGAAAATTTGTTTTGATTCCTATCCGTTTTAGTAATACAATTAAACGAATCTTAAATTTGGAATAATCAAAAATACAAAAATAAAAGTTATTTAACGTTAACTAGCCGTAAGAAATAAGCAGATGTGTTTGTTTTTGTTCAAAACAACCACTTATAGCAGTTCATCAGACAAAACGCGATAAAATAGGGTTTAAAGTCCACTCAAACAACAACGCATCATGAAAAGTAAAGTAAGCTTGTGATGTCAGGCAAAGTGCACATAAAACTTTGTAATTTTGTTTGCTAGCTTACTTAATTATCATTGTTAGTCTAGCCACGATGTTCAGTTCGATGGTTCTGATATCCACTATATCATAGCAAGAACAAAAACATAAAGATGAGTATTTGGTGCTCGAAAGTCAAACGCGAGCGTGACCTATCGCCGTTTCTGACAGTCGGTTTCCAAGACCAATGAAATATTCCCCGAACGGAAATATATCCCGTTCAACAAAGATCTATTTCTCGATTGAGAAATATGTCCTATTTGGAAAATATTTCGATATTTCTACTTTGAAACCCTGCAGCGCATTTTATTACACTTGTGCGTATATTCTGGTTGGTTCTACTGGAAATAGCACGAAAAACTACATTGATTAACGCGGTGCCAGATGAATTTGATGCGCTTCTAGCAGATCTGATATTATAGAAATGTTGAAAAGAAGTGCTCAAGCAAAAGAAAAAATCGATAAGCTAGCTCAACTTGTGTCATCGAGTTCTAGAAGCGTAACGAATATCTGCTGACTAGCGTTCAGGTGGTTAATATATCGAATATACTTACATCCAATGTGCATACTATCCAAAATAAAAAATAAAATAAATTTTATCAAGGTCGAAGTCGGGACAAAAACACATATCGAAAAGGAAAATGTACGACGCAAATATTTCTTTCATAAAGTCCACTGTGGAATGATGAGAGGCATCAACAAATCGACAGTTCAATTTATGGGCTTTTCACTAACTTTAGCCATTAAGTAGAACAATTTACCGGTTTTCGACACGTGGTAAAAACAGTTATTCAATTTCTTTTCTTTTCATCAGATTTCGGCAGAAATGTTGCCACTGAGAAAGTCAACACGAGTGTTAAGAAGAGTAAAATGCATAGTATCCCACCGTTTTTCAATCGGGAAATACATCTTTCCTAAACGGGAAATAATTGATCTTTCTGAACAGGAAATATCTGGTCTTATTTTCCGACTGAGAAATAAAAATAAGGGATGTTCCAACAAGAAGTTTGTTTTAGCATCGCACGTAAGCGATGACCAAAGAGGAGCTTTGGCTTTTCACATAGAGCAAATGTAAATCAGCTTCCGGGTGTCACAGAAGTTTTATAACAGTTTATGTTTTTCGAATATTTCAGCCTAGATACAAAACAGATTATTCAATCTGTTTTCAAAAGATGCGCAGTTTAATTCTCTACAAACTGATGTTGACTATATTTTGCAGTAATGAAATTCTAAATTTCTAGTGGTCAAACACTTCGATGGAATCAAGTTCAACCACTTGCCACTGAATTTTGGAATTGTTTGTGTGTAGAATCCCAACAAATATCGGGCTCATAAAATACGACTCACCAATAGATAGTTCTTAAAAATGTCTACTGATTGCCTATATTTCGATATTTTCATTCCTATTTTCTATTCGTCAGGGGTGTAATTGGTATCAAAAATGCGATACCAGTATACAAACTTTGTACCGTTACCGGTCGGTATACCGATGACCGGTTTACCGGGCGGTACCGGTTTGTCTTGATCATATTTTGCTTAAATACAAATGCTTTTTCCTTGTTTTTCTCTACTATAAACTGTGTTTTATGTTATCAAAGGGATAGATTAATCTTTTCACTTTCATTACGTATTATGTAGGATTTTTCACATATTTTTTTTTACGAAAACAGTAATTCAATTCATTCTTTTAAATTAAGAAGTTTATAAAAGCCGACAAAGTGTAAGTAATTAGAGTGAAATTTTAGTGGAAGAAGTATGTCACAAATGAACTGAATTTACACAATGTTTTTCGAAAAAAATCGTACCATACCGCGAAATACCAGCAGTATCGCCCGACTGATTATACTTCATACTACTGCTGGTATACCGATACCAGTTGCACCTCTGCTATTCGTTGAATGACATCTCGTGACATTCGTTGAATCATACATACGTTGAATGACTTCGAAAACTAGCGCGATTTTCCCCTTCCAGCTACTGTCTTTAGAAAAAAACATTATGAGAAAGCCATTTATAGCTCAATATAAAGTTTTATACGAAAACGATTTACCTTTCTTCCTACCACAAAAGCCGTGAACAAACATTTTCATAGGGCTAGGAAATAGTTAATTGCTGCAAAGGAGCGATTTTCATGATCAAAATTAAATAAAAAGATTTTTGCTACGGCAACAGATACCGGGCCGAGAAGATATTATATATCTGCTATAAAACAAAATGCTATTAATGCACTATTCAAAAATGCATGCCTGATCTTGTCAGTATTTGTCGTTAGCACAGGAAAAGATTCGCAAAACATTCTGGGAATCAGTGGGAATTGGTTGAACTTGATTCCATCGAAGTGTTTGACCACTAGAAATTTAGGATTTCATTGCTGCAAAATATAGCTAACATCAGTTTTGTAGAGAATTAAACTGCGCATCTTTTGAAAACAGATTGAATAATCTGTGTTGTCTCTAGGCTGAAATATTCGAAAAACACAAGATGGTGCAAAACTTCTGTGATAGCCGGTAAACAGCAGAATAAAAACTGTCCGCCCTTATGAAAATACTACTTGCACAAAAGAGTATGGTATAGTAAGTGATGTGTAACTAACTACTCTATAAGTATATGTATTATTACTAATACTTAATTTTAGGTACAAGGTGTGTATCCGAGCATCAATGCGCTTTTACATAAGTTAGCAGAAAATATTGACGTATATTCCAGAATTACAGATTCTGTACCAATATTTAGTTTAAAATCGTATCAGTGTACTTATACGACGAAAAACTGAAAACCAAATGTTCAAATTTAATAATTTATGATTTCCGCATTAATAAAAGTACAAAAAAATCGAAATCGAAAAGAACTCTTTTGCATAAAACTTACTTAGTTGGCCTGAATTCTTGTCAAAAAATATTTTATTTGTAAAATTAATAACTTATACATCATTCGGTGCAGTTATTTATATTGATCCCAAATATCACATTAATTTTCAATAAAACTGTATCTCGGATGAGAAAAATGGAGAATACCTCAAAATCCAGGGTTTTTGGAAAAACACATAACTCGACTTCGATAAGTATGTGCATTTTTGTGCATTCACAATTGATAAGTACAATATTGAGTCAGATTGGACTTGGGGAGAAGGAGGGGGGGGGAACTCATTGCAAGATGAGAACCTCTTTCGAAACAGACTTAGTCTGAAAGTCGAATTTTTTCCTCCGATTTAACAGGCCTAGGAAAGATAAATGTTCTCTAGTTTTGTAGAGAAGGATGTGTAGATTCAAAATATGTAAAGTTTTTAAATCTTAGACCACTGAGTCTACTAAAAATCTATTTTTCTCAGAAGTCGTTACTTTTCAGATATTTTTTTGAAGGATACAGTTTTCCGAAAAAGAGTGTACTGGAAGTAAAAAATTTTAAACCATTCGGTAGCCCATCGATTAAACTATACGTGACACTGTTTGAATTTTGAAAAAGTGTACTTTCGATTTTTGGCTAAATGTCCTCCCGGATGTCCACTGTGCTTCATGATTACGATCAGTTGCATCTCATTTATAATAAAAATAAAACACCTTTGATTAAGTTTTCCTAAACTTCACTGTTTGCAATAATAACAGCGATTCTATTGCCTAATTCAAGGCGAAATGTCTCACTTTTAGTCAACCGTTTCATTCGTATAAATTGTATTGAAAATATACAAGTTACACATTAACAACGAACAAGAAAAATGATTATGTCTAAATGAAAATTCAACGCTGCTGACGGAATTCATCAAATAATTTTTGAACATCCTTGAATACCTAGAAGACAATGATAAAAAAATGAATTTCTTTTATTTTTTTCCGCGATAATTGAGTCACAAAGTTGAGTTTTCTTCTTACCGTCTCTACATCTCTTGATGCATTAATTGTTTTCACTAAATTCTGTTTAGTATACATATCAATGATAGGACGCGTTGATTCATTGTAAGTTCGAATGCTATTAAGAAACAAACAAATAGAAAGAATTGCACCCTAAGATCACATACACGTTTCAAAAAGAGTTTACCGTTTCTTTAAACTTTCAGCATTATCATCACTTCGTCCACTACTTTTTCCACGTTCAAGACACCGTTGAATAGTAATCTAACAAGGTAAAAAGAACTTTTCCGAGCTCGTATGTTTCAAATCATTTTTGTATTGTAATAGCGGCTGACTAAACAACATACATACCTCTTCGTTACAATCAAAGAACAGCACACACTGTAAATTTACTTTTCCATCACCCATATCTTTATTCCAATCGTCAACATTATCTTTATTACGTGGAAATCCATCGATTAGAAAATTATTTGTCACACTTTTAGCCATTGCCTTCGAAGAATTTGAAGAAAACATTCTCTATTATAACTGTGAGGAGAGTAGAACCTCTCAGATAGACATTACCTCTTCAAGTAATGTAATTATGATTTCTTCAGGTACAAGTTCACCATTCTTTATATGTTCATTAATTATTTTTCCAAATTTTGAATTTGAACCCTTTTTACATTCGTCACGAAGAATGTCACCAGTCGATAAATGTACGTAATTGTAAGTCTTTATAAAGCAGAAAACAAAAATAAGACAAGATGACAACTTTACTATTGTACTTACATTAGCTATTCGTTCACATTGTGTTCCTTTACCTATATAGACACAAAAAACAAACAAAAAAACATAGTTAATATGTCAGACATGTGAATATATTAGTGTTGTACCAGCTCCAGGTCCTCCTAATACAAATATAACGTTTGGCTTCTTTTTGTCATTTGACATGTTTGTTACTATCTGCAAGAGAAATTTTGAAAGTAGGGACTCATCTAATGTGCGATAACTTAAAATAAATAATTAGTTGAGTCATCATTGTATATACTTTGGAAAAAATAATGGTGATCAAATTGTATTCATCATGGAACGTTGTACTTCGAGTTACTTTATGTAAAGTAGAAACGAATTAAGTGCGACTGTTCTCTGTATACATAGATTGTAACCGAATTCTAATGAAAGTAAGAAAAAATAACGAGGTATCTCTCCGCAGTATTACGCTTGACTGAATGGACAAAAAAAATAGAACGAAAGAGAAAAACAGAAATACATTTAGGCCTCTAGCAATAGGAAAGATTGATATACTGAAAAAAAATATAGCTAAAGCGTGCATTAAATGTTATGCTCCTATCAGTTAACAATAACTAATACCTTTATATGCTTATAAAGAATTTTTGTAGTTTTACGAATACAGCTACTTTTGGTTTTCACCATTTAGTGCAGTGAACGATCGTTCACAAATAGATAATAGGGAATGACTTTAACAATGTTAGACGATTTCTTCGGCTGCAGACGATAGTAAACCTTGTGTCTGCAGGCGTTTTAATAACTATAAAGAAACACTTCTTTTTTCAAAAGACAGTAGAGTCCTTAAAAGCTATTCAACAAACCGCAATTACTCTCTATACATATACTTTCCTTTTGGTAAAAAGCTTCGAACCAATCTTCTCCGACGATTAAAGTTGAACTGCAATGCCAGTATCATTGCTATTTCTCACTTTAAAACAGAAAGATCAGATTACGTCTTTCCATTATTTAAATCACATAAAATACGGCATACTGTATTTTTATGTGCACTTCAAGTATACAAAAGAAAAAGAAACGCAAATGCATTCATGTGTTAAATTCGATTGTGTACATTACTTACGAGGGAAGGCTCCCAACTGTCCCGCCGCTTTTGAGACGAAACTTAGTGGACAATAGGTAATCGAGGGTGCTGACTCCGAATATCACAATGATTTTTGCATATGGGCATGTGGAGTTACCGAATTTTGAAAAACCAGGTTTACAGAGACTCTGAAAAATAACCACAATGTTTCTTAGTGAAGCATGATTGTAGCCCGCACATTTCTGATTAAAATAAGACCTCGCCCGAGCTACACGACCTTTCTTTGCAAAGTTATAGAATTTACAATAAAAGCCCTAAATTAATTTCTTCTTACTTCTGTAGCCTTGAGCTGACAACAAACATTTAGAGCTTTTCTTGTAAATTCCATAACTTTGCAAAGAAAGGTCGTGTAGCTCGGGGAGAGGTCTCATTTTAATCAGAAATGTGCGAGCTACAATCATGCTACACTAAGAAACATTGTGGTTATTTTTTAGAGTTTCTGTAAACCTGGTTTTTCAAAAAACCGGGGTCTCCAGAGGCTCATACAAAACCCATTGTGAAGCAACACTCTCGATTACCTATTGTCTACTAAGTTTCGTCTAAAAAGCGGTGGGGCAGTTGGGGGCTTTTTCTCGTTAGTTGATAAGAAAAACCAGTCTGTTTTTGTTCCCAACACATATTTACTGTTATTACCAAACCAACTGAATTCTTCTGCTGCACTCAGCTTGAATAATCTCAACGAAAAACCAAAATTATGTCTCAACATCACACCAGATGAAGGTGATATGGATATTAATGATAAAGGACAGTTACTTTATTGTCCTATACAACGTCTATGTCTTATTGATCAGCAAGGAAAGTAACTATGTAATGTTAATGTGATATTGATATTTCTGAATTACGTTGGTATTCATACTTAAAACAGTTCCTCATACGTTCTGAACAGAAACGTTATACACTGGATGTAACAGCACCAACACTATAACTGAAATACTGAATCAACACCTGTCAAAGCTAATCTCTGTTACCTTGTAAACCAGAGAAAACTCAACTATGAAGACGAAGCGGATAAGACTCAATATTCCTATGTTATAGGGGGTCTACACCCTTAAAGAATTACCGAACGGCGCTAGAATTATAGAGCGTATAAACAGACATTGATCGTATCTAGTACCGAACTAGGATCATTGCACTTTTTAAAACATATATACGAGAGAAATAGGACAGGTGAGAGGAACAGGATAAATAAGCTCGTTTAATAGAAGAATCATTCTCACCTCTTTCCAAAAAGTTGAACGAGCACACGAAGAGAAGGAAAGATTGAACAGTTGAACAAATAATAGCCAATAAGAAGCCGGGCTGAATTTAAGCATAAATGTAGACAGTCCGTGGGCATCTGCTGAATGTTTACTTTTCCGTGTTGATATAACCTGTAAGACTTCTTTCATTCATTCCTTAATGGAGGCTCCAGGAATTTTTTTGTACTTCATTATCATAACTAATGGGAGGCAGATAAACATATGGATGAGATCGAATGACTTCTGGTTCAGAAAATAGATTTTCAAGGTGGTCTGCTACCATTTTCAACATTTGATGGCTCACGAACTGTTACATTTGTACTAGAAATAAAAGCATGCAAAGAAGATGAGACGGTTTAAAATGATGTTTTGTTTTCGACCAGAACTGAGCTGGGCAGTGCGATGATGAATTTCTCATTGGTAGACATTTTAATAACTGATTCGGCTTTTAGTTCTCGTTTGGTAGAGTTTCTCATCAACCGCATAAGATCGAGAAGCTGGACATCGCTTGTAGGTTTAGCACAAAAGGAAAGAGCATGACAGTACGCCATTTTATACCTGAACTCCGGCGGGAGTAATACACGATACTTATTAATAGGAAATACAGTGGTACACTGAGCTCATAATAAAGACACAAAAGTTGCATAGCTTGTGTAAATATCATTATAGTAAACAAGATTCCATTGTGATTTCCAATATTTAAAAACAAATAACAGAAAAAAATAAAATACATTCCAATGTGCTTTTTGTCCTATGTTTGCATTTTTATTCCCACATGAGATTACACACAATAGTGGTTTATGAACACTGGTTGTTGATCCCTCATATGTGTACAGTGACGGGGACACCTCACTTTAAGGTAGGAAGATTAGGAAGAAAACGAGCAAGTGAAAGAGAAATATCACACTTTTCTTTCCTTGACTTTTCTGTTCCGATCAGTATTAAAATCACAGTATGTATAGAGTAGTTTCATCCTTCTGTTTTATCTAGTTTTCATTTCAAATGGTCTATATTTCACTTTTGAAAATGACTCAATAAAGAGTCGAAACGTCACGATAAGTTTAAGTTAAATTATTAAATAAATGACTCCTGCTTTAAAAAGATCTGTTTTTATTCAGCTTCAATTCATATTTGACGAAATTTGGAGCCAAAGTTTGAGGTTGTAGGTACATAAGTGAAATGGATCAGCATGTCTTGCTTTAGTTTTTTTCTCATATTCCTTACCGGGTTTTTTACTTTTTTACGGCATTCGTTGTAGTCTGTTTGTGGTTCAAATATCATGTGTAGGTCTCTCGCACCTACGTTGTTCAGCAGTCGATCGTCTATAAGTTCACTTGGGTATCCATTTAGCAGTAGACCTGTGCGAATTTGAAATTTCTTCTTAAAATCTTCTACGTCTAATCAGATTCGCAAAGCTCGAACTAATGAGGCATATGGGATATTTCGTTTTATGTCAATTGGATGTGAGGATTCAAAAGGTAGGATATAAGGTTCTGTGGCAGGTTTTCTAAAAACTACGGTATGAAATTTGTTGCGAGATGTTTGTTTGATGATACAGATGAGAGGTAGTTTGCTTGTTCGCCTGTCTCATATGTCAGCTTGATGTCTGGATCTTTTTCGTTCAGCTTATCTAAAGCGGCACAAAATTCAAAAAGGTCTCTCTTAGTGATGAGGTAGATATCACCGCGGAATCGTAAATAGCACTCGTTTTGATTTAAGCTCGTTATTGATGATGTAAGAGTAGAAAATCCAGAAGAATACAAGCCATAAAAGCGGATCAAAGATCCATATACATGTAGTCACCGTAAAAAAAAGGAAAACACTCGTTTCGGCTATTTGGAAAGTTAAAAGGTCCTTTTCCCATTCAATCATATACGCGTCTGCCAATACTTTTACGGCAAAACAGGAGTTGGCGAGTATGAATCGAAGCATTTTAGCAATCGTGTTTATAGAGATGCGTCAACTTTCTCGTTCCCTGTTTTTGCTGGGAGGCGATTTATGGCTTGGACAAATTCTGATTAAGGATCATTGTGTACAGGTCTGTGAAATCGAACGTAAATTGCCTTATCCTATCTGTAGTTTCATATAGTTCTATTTTATCTAAGAAGTTCAGAGAATTCTCAAGCGTGTAGTGTGATGTTTCTGGATCAAAAATGGGTCTCAAGATCTGGTCTAGAAAATATGACATTGTAGCTGTAGAGAATTTCATTTCCCTTGCTATTGGACGTAGAGGTTCTCCGATTTTATGGTCTTTCGAATTATAGTAGAGATGAGGTGGTTCACAATCTTCAGGTGTGGGTTTCAAGCGTTCGTATTGCTTTTATGTTATCTGCTTGCTCGTAAGAAGGTGTCGATCTGGTTGGTGGTTTGAATCATCTGGT